TGGATGCTTGAATTTCCCTCGGGATAAATAAAGTATCTATCTATCTATGGCGTCCATATGCTGCCATATAGTTGAAAAAACTGGAAAACTAGTGACTTAATATCCAGGACGTGTGGAAACCTGACAACAAGGCTGTAAAGGCAGACTAGTGAGTAGATGTTTTTTTAGTAAAAGCTTCAAAATTCACAACTGGGCTATTTACTGACATATTATTATGTTGTAGAACAAAACCACAGTTAACCACCGATATTATTTCAGGCATCTAATCAAAAACCCATGGCCTTTGAGGAGAGGGAACTGGAGGTGCTAAAATGCTAACTCAGTTGCTGGTTTTAGGACTTATTCCTGCAAATATTTGATAGCATTTTCATTTTATGCTGCGCAAACAATCGGTGTGTCCACACACAAGAGACGCTGCCGGTTGTCTGTCTCACGTGTGTCTGACAGAACATTTACACATATATTAATCAGTCTGTCTACACCGGCCACTTAAAGACTTGAGTTACTCATGCAATGTGCATTTTAACGCAACCCTGAACGTATTTTTACACTATGGGGAGGTAAACAACGTATTTCACTTAGTCAGCTGGGATATATGTATGCTGTTAGAGTATAAAAATGGTGAATCAACACACAACACCGACCCAAAATCTCTCCAGTCTGTTTAACTTTCCTACACCAAACAATTGGGTTTGAGGAACTGACGACTGCTGAAATAAACAGGAATGGCCTAACAGCAGTTTGATGTCATACCTCCATGCAGAAAAATCGAGGAACCATGATGCGCAAAATCTGCAGGATTCGGAGGAAGAAAACCTTGTCCACTGATGCACGGTCTTTCTTGCCATCTTTCTGTATGAAGAGATATAACAAAGGTAGTCTGTGATCCAACTGTAAATATGACTTTAAGACTGTTTAAAGACTTTATAAGTTCCAGACACACAAACATGAAAGACTGACCTCAGCGTTATGCACTAGATCTGAGCCTTCTTTTCTACTGAAAAGAAAGAGTAATGAGATCAGACAAATATAGTAACATTACAGACGTTGCGCTGGATTACATTGGGATTGGGATCAATACATAAATATTCCTTTAATATCTTTGCTTGTATTGGAATAATTCAGCCAATGTTGCAAATTGGTGCACTTAATGGTAAAATTAGATTACATGAAACGTACATTTCTTGACTTATCAAATATTTGATTTGCTGGATTAATTACAAACGAACATTCTTGTCTTGTTTTTTTAAAAGGTTATCAATTAGCAATAATCATCTACTGATTTTCCAGAAATCTTACCGTTTCAGGAATTATATCAATATTGTGACATAAAATTACTTCTGCGTAATAGAGGATTTCATCTAAATTGTCCGTTCCTAATGCTATATGATAAAATGATCCTAAAATGCAAATTTGTTTTTTTTTTTTTTTTTTACAAGAAAGGCGTCTGTCACTAGTCCTATTGTCCACCCTAATCCAATGAGACAGAGGGGTCAGATTGATAGGTTTTATTTTTATTATTATTATTATTATTATTACTATTATTATTACTACAGATACTATTATTACTATTGTCACTGCTCATTGTCCCCCATCATTGC